TTCACACTGGCTGTGCTGAGGATGGAGCCGCCTGACCCGTCTTTGCCCGCTCTCTTTCTGAGAACAGAAGCTGTGCACCTGAGATCCTTGTGTAATGTCGGCGCAGCAGGAATCCTGGAGCCTTCACAGTTCTCAGAGAGAGCCAGCGGATGCAGAAAGTTTCACGCATTCCATTCGTAGCTCCTGCAAGATGGGGTTCGAGCGTTCGGAGTTCTGAGAGATCTTTCATGCTGCAGCAATTTGAGCTTCAAGCTATCTTGCAGGCCTGTGAGTGCTGTGTTGTTCAGCTTGTGAATCGTGCAAGCTTTCAACAGAAAAGGAGCAAGGGACCTGCAGGTAAGACTGCCTTCATCATGGCTCGCCTAACACCGTTTCTCTAGGGAAGCTGCTCGTGGGTAGTGTGCGGGTGGGTAGTTGGGGCGCTGTTTATGCGAGTAGTTATACAAGGCTTGTATAAGCCACTTATAACCTTTCCATAAAAGGGGTTTATATGAACCTCGCATAAGAATGAAGGTTGAAGCTATCGCCGGGCTTATGCGAGGCCGTTGGTTTCCGTTCTTGCGACAGGAATGCACTTCTCTTGGACGGGCACCCCTCGCACCCCACCCCCCGACTCCCCCCCTCCCCGCACCACCCCCCGTTCGCGCCCCCACACTGCCCGTCACTGCCCATCCCCACAAACAAGCCAAAACACATGAAAGGGACGGCGCGCCCCTGGCTGTACACATAAACCCCTCTCCCCCAGCTCTCCGAACCCTGACCCCACATAGTGCTCACATAAGGGCTCACATAAGCCTCACATAAGCCGTGGAGCTCATGCCGGGCTCCCACACGGTGCTCACATAAGTTCCCTCATAATTAAGCCAGCCCCGCGGAAGCCGCAGAGATGCTGACAGGATGCTCACACAAGGCTGGGGATTGGGGATCTCCTAAGCGCCTCCCTCCCCCTTTCACTGTCAAGCATATCTTGGCATGCGCTGTACTTGCCTTTATTGCGAGGCGCGAACCTCAACTGACGCATACTGATATCACATAAGCCCCAACAAGGACACGCTGAAATCACATAAGCCCCAACGGAACTACCCACCCCCCAACTCCCCACCCGAAGCTTCCCTAGAGTTTCGGCTCCTGACAAGCAATCCTCACTTCCATTCGTCCAGAAACAGTATTCAGAGCAACCAGGCTTTTGACGGAGGTGGTGCTTCCAAGTCTTATCCCAAGAGTTTGATATGAATGAAGAGTCCCCGTCGTTGGGATTGTTGGGCTACTTGCCCAGGCAGGTGGATCGTGTCCCCGTCAAGAACCCTGCCTTGCAGTGTGAAGACAGGCCTCACCTTGGCGAGCCCGTGTCGGCAAATGTCGCCACATCCGATGCGAGGCACAGCTGAGCAATTTACATGCGGAGCCTGCTGTTTCAGGCTTTCATTTGTGCTACTCCTCATTCGACTTTGACATGTCATGTGCGGCTTTCGCTGGAGACTACGGCGAGGATGCTCAGAAGCATGAACACAGCCTGGAGTGTGGCAAGATAGACTGGCAAAGGTTCCATTGCTCGTGTGACCAGCATTCGTTTGTTTCAAGAGGTTGCCTGCAAAGCCTAGCCCCGGAATCGGATGCTGGTTTTTGTGGTGCTTTCGTGCACATGCTACTGGCATCAGCTGGCTACATGATCTCCATTCGAAGTGGTTGGGCTTCTGCAGGGTGACCTCGCCGACATTTCGGACAAGCCTCCCGCAGGCAGTGACAGGAGTCGATTCCTTCCGTCTCTTGTCAGCACTGCTCGAAGGCGACATTGTCTACAGAGTTTGATCCATCCGGAAGCTGCATTTCCGAAGGCTTGGGATTCATTTAGCCTTCAACGTGATAGATTCGTTCTGCAGAGTGGCCTGGTCAGGCCATGCCGGTCTTCCTGCGTGGATCGACCAAGCAGAGGCTTGGTGCAGAAGGTGGAAGAAGGAAGTGCTCAGTCATCGTGATAGTAGGAGCTGGACTGCAGACTGGAGCACGCGACTTTGGTGGCAGTGTCCTCAATCTCTTCAGAAGCGTGGGTGCTTTTGAAGCAGTACCTGTAGGCTCGACAGCGTCGATTGCAAGATGCCGAGCTGGAGGCTTTGCGGCTTACTGTAGAGTCCTTGAACGATGCGGACAAGTCTGTTGTGTGCCCATCCTTGAGAAAGTGAAAGGCCACAAGGGAGGAGACTCAGGTGCAGCTGAGGCTTGCCAGAGTGATCCTGTTGGAAGTTTAGTTGAGTTGGGTGTGAGAGGTTGGCGGCTTTCCGAGAAGAGGTGCCGCCGTGTCGATGCATGGCTCATGTCAAGCATGTGCGAGCATGTTCTTCCTTCGGCAAGTTCTGGCATGCGGGGAGCTCCAGAGTTAGATCTTTCACGGCTGTTATGTTCAGACAACTGCGGCAGGCAGTCCCGTTGCAGTGACGCTCCAAACCGTTCCCATTTCATCGTCGTAGCTGTGACGACAGTGGAAAGCGTCGGTGTTTCAGCTCACGGCTTTGGTGTGCTTGCAGAGGAGGCGTTTGTGTGAGTCTGCTTTGATTGAACTTTGTGTTGTGTTTCGTTCAGAGGGAGGGAGGACACGGGGAGCCGACCGGTCCTGTGATTTTTGGGCTTCCGGCTTTGAGTCTGCATGGTCTGTGCAGACTTGCTGTAGATTTAAGACGTTACACGACTCAATGTCTGGAGCTGTGTGTGTGTGTGCACATACATATGTAAATACATACATTATATCTATCTATCTATCTATCTATATCTATCCATATCTATATATATATATATATATAATGTTTACATATATATATATATATATATATATACGCACACACACACACACACGTCGTCCTCTGTTCTGTCCCTTTGGACTCGCTATGCAAGTAAAAGGCAATTTTTGAGTTTGCATGAAGGACACACCAACATATATGTTCTGCATGCTTGCATCAAACATTAACGGTTGGCGACGGCCATTTTGGGTCAAGTCGCCAAGTTTTTCAGACAGGGCCATAGAGCCTTTGTAGCCGGTAGCCTCCTGACAGCCATGTCAGACTGGGTCCAGCAAGTCCACAGCGCAGAGCAGTCGTGGGTAGACTTGCTCAGCCAGGACGCGGACATAGTCACTGAGGCGCTGGCAAATCTTCCAGATGATCTACGAGCCCGGTTGCAGACGATCAGCCAGATAGCAGACCATGCGGCCCAGGTGCAGGCTATGGGGGTTACAGCCGTCATTGACACAGGCCTTGGTACAGCCTCCTGGCACGTGCTGCAGCCGGGCGAGTCTAGCGGTTCGAGTGATGGTCAGACGGAGCAGCCCTCTTCCTCTACAGCCGGACCTGCCCCAGCCAAGTTGCAGTCCGTTCCTTCAGCCGCTTGGGCAGACCAGACAGACGATGTTTCTTTTCCGAAAGCTGGTCAAATTAGTCGTGAGGCAGCCTTGCTTGCTCAGGGCATGGTACCAGCCACAACCAGTCAGGAGCAGCCGCCTCTCACTGTTCAGTCTCAGGACCCACGACAGGAACAGTCTCAGGTCCAGCCTCAGTCTCAGACACAGCCGCCGCCTGCTCAGACTTTGCAGCTCACTGCGCAGCCTTCGCCAGTATTGCCTTTGGGCCCCCAAAGCAAGGCCAAAGCTGGCAAGGGCCTCACCCCAGGTGTAATGGTCAAGACGCCGCCAGCCAGGACAGATGGCCCGGTACCGGTGAAAGCCATGCCAGGCCAGCCAGGTCAGCCGCCGCAGCCCCAGCCTCAGCCTCAGGCAGTGCATCCAGGACAGCCGGCAGCAAAAGCCAGCACGGTCGGCACCCCCCAGCCTGGCACGCGAGGCGTCCAGTCAGTCAGTGGCAGACCGCGTCAGCCACCCAGTCACCCTCCAGTCGTGCGACAGCCGTGGGTCCAGGATTCGAGCCAGCTGCAGCACTTCCCGAACGACTTAGTTCATTACTCGGGAGGAGTTTACTATGCAGCCTACGAAGCAGTCGGACCCAGGGGGTCCTTACCCACATCACAGCCATATGCAGGCGCTTTTCCGCCTTTGTGCCCCAGGCGTGAACACAGACTTCCACGAGCCCTTCGCGGCCATGGACATGTAGTCGCAGGCTATTGCTTGTCGGTGTGTCCCATCTGCAGGCAACAGGCATGCTCACGAGCAGTCTGTGTTAGTCGCCTGGCGGGCGCAGCCCACGATCATCACGATTGTCCGGACTGCCATGAGTCAGGCCGGGGTGCTTTTCTTGCTTCAGTGTGACTCCGTCCCGTGGCCAGGGTCACACAGGGGCAGACGCTGAGGCCGCTACAGGATGCCACAGGCCAGGATGAACAGCTTGACAAAATGTGCCGAGCCCTCAGCGTGTTCGGCCAGGGCCCTGGCTGAGTGGCGGTCGTAGATAGCCCTTGTCAGCCCTTGGTAGCCTCTGTTTTGACCTGTCACTGTTTCAGGATTCCAACTTTGCTTTAGCAAGCCTCCAGTCAGAGTGTGCAGTTCAAACTCGCTGAATATGTGACAGTCCTTGCCAGCCTTGCCAGCCGCACTTCACCTTGTGGTGTTCTCCCTTCTGCTGGCAGGGTGTTAGGCCATATGCTCACAGACACTGCCCTCAGTGGCATTGATCAGCCGCTTCAGGCAAAATGTGTTACTGCACTTGAGTGCTGGTGTTTGGCTTTTGACGTGCACTTGAGTGCAGCAGCGACACTTGTGTGTGTTGCCGTCCTCCCACTCGGCTTGAGCCGGAGTTAGGGGAAGGAAGCCCTTGTGGGTTATCCGTGCAGGCCTGGTGTCTCGAACAGCTTGTGCTGTGTCCACCGCCGGCTGCACAGGTGCTTTTCTCAGTTCCCAGCCGACCTTGCGGTCGCAGGCAGGCCCTTGGTCTTGCAGCCTTGTGGCACAGACCTCAGCAGCCTTGTGGCCGTCAGGTTTCTCGCAGACTTTGTCAGGCCGGTTTGCACACGGCTCTGGCGTCAGCTTTAGTAAGTCTGCTATCGTCAGGCCTCAGCCCGTCATGTCAGCCGTGAGCGACTCCAAAGTCACGTTCACAGCCAAAGCCAAGCAGCACGGCGTTCCAGAGAGTAGTCTGCAGGCTTGGGCCACAGAGGGCATCGAAACTTACTCTCAGCTGCTTTTCCGTGTGGCGTCAGCCCCGAATGCAGTCGACGCAGCCAAATTGAAGACGCTGCTAGACAACATGCAGCCAAAAGCCACAGAAGCAGTCGCTTCAGCCGTCAACAGACTCCTGTTTGAAGCAGGAACTTTTGTCGTGGCGGAACTACGCAACAGCCTAGATAGCCCGTCAGCCGAACCCAGCCGCAGGCTTTCCACTCAGGAACGCAGCAGTCGTCTTCAGGCGCTACAAGCCAAGCTAGGCTCCTTCAAGATCGCAGGTCAGTTTGAGCCGAGTCACCAACTCGTTGACTCGTTCAGTGCCATGCTAGCCGACCAGACAATTAGACACGTCCCCCTGAACAGGTGTAGCTGTCGCGAGCAGGAGGTGTGCAACGTCAAACGTGACGACCACCTCTTCCGCCTCGAGAACTCAGCCCTCCGTTTGGCAGCCAAACCCCAGCCGTTGAAGGTGGACCTAAGCACCGAACTCAGAGTTGCTCAGGCTCTCAGTCGTCGTGGGCTAGCCATTGAGATGGCAGGATTGGGAACCTTTGAGGTTCACGAAGCCTACGCTCGCAGCCTGCTAGATCACTTGCACCGACCTCCACCGCCCAAGTTTGATCCCCCAGGCATTGACGCCCTCCTGAGAGCAGACAGAGAGCTTTGGATCAGGGTAGCCGAAGAACTTGGCACAGACTTCTCAGGACCAGGCAAGGTAAGCGCCTTTGACGATGCCATCAAGACATGGCAACACAGCATGCAGGTGGCTTACTTTTTGGTACCAGTCCCCAAGCCAGAGAAGCCAGACAAGCCCTTGAAGCGCGCCTGGGAGTCGGCCTTCGCCGCCGAAAAAGGACAGCCGTGGAAGGGCAAGGGCAAAGGCAAAGCCAATCAGCAGCAGACGTGGCAGCCCAAGGGCGGCAAGGCCAAGGGCAAAACAGGCAAAGACAAACAGCAGACGTCGATGCCCGCCGCCCTAAAAGGGATGGACCCGAATTTCAAAGGTCATCCCATCTGCTTCAATCACAGCCTGCCTCACGGGTGCACAGAGGAGACTTGGCAGACTGACTTAGGGATCAGCTGCAAGAGGGGACTTCACATCTGCATGAAGTGCCATGGTGAGCATTCCTTCTCAGCCTGTGACAAGTGACAGTCAGGTTCGGGGGTTGTGCCCAGCTGCGTCCCAGTAGCGACGGGTCAGGCACAGCCAGGTCAGAACACAGCCCCCGTTCAAGTTTTGGCCGCAGACTCAGACGCTCTTAGCGAGCCCAGCCTTACCAACGTGACTGCAGTGTTTCACTCAGAGGGGTCAGCCGTGCAGCCAACAGCTGTTGTGGCCACTGTCGCCACTGCGTCTGCCTCCCCTCCTTTGCCTCAGAGTACAGTTCGCAACAAGTCAGCAAACCTGTTTGTGGAAGTTTTCGCAGGAACCGGCCGCATGGCCAAAGCCTTTTCAGCGTTCGGCCTGCAGGTGCTTGCAGTAGACACAGTGCTTCCTCAGGGAGTTCCAGCCCTGACGCTGGATCTGACCAAGGCCAGCAGCCAGAAAGTTTTCTTTGACCTTTTGCAGTCCAACAGGGTGGCAGCGGTGCATTTAGCCCCGCCCTGCGGGACAAGCAGCGCAGCCAGACGCATAGACTTAGGACCAGGGTCTCCTCCTCAGCTTCGCACAGCCCTAGAGCCAGATGGAGTCCAAGGTCTCTCCTTCTCCAACAGGCATCGAGTCAACTCAGCCAACAGGTTGTATCAGTTCACAGCCGAGGTTATATCCTCTTGTGACCGCCTCGGCATCGCTTGGAGCCTAGAAAACCCCACTGCTAGTCTGTTTTGGTTGACCTCACCCGTGCAAGCCTTGTGGCGTCTCTTGAGAGACAGGGTGCACTTTGGCACCTTCGACAGCTGTGTGTATGGAGGCCTGAGGAAGAAGGCCACAACGTTCTGGTCAAGTGAACCAGCTGTGTGCGAGCTCAGCCTTAGGTGCTGTCCAAGTCTAGGACACAAGCACCTGCCTTGGGGCAAGACGGCCGACGGTTGGGCCACTTCCTCTGAAGCAGCCTACCCCAAGGCTCTGTGCAGCCACTGGGCCTCTCTCTTGACGCAGTCACTGTCAGCCAAGGGCAGGCTTGGCACCCAAGAGTCAGTTCCAGGAACTGCCGAGTACGCGGCCTCGGAGAGAGCGTCACTGGGACTTTTCCCGAAGGCCGCACACAGCCCCGTGACAGTCGACCCTTTCAGGGACAAACAGTGGCACAAGTTGTCCTCTGCAGCCGACAGACTGTTATTTGTCCCGGGCCAGCGCGTTGTGGCAGCAGGCTTTGCAAAAGGATCCACCACCATCAAGGTCGTAGTGGAATCTGGGCAGTGGTGGGCTTTGGTTGGCATTCCAGTCTCCCCTGAGACTTTTCTTGAACTTGCCAGCCATTGTACTCACCCTCAGTCCGTTCTGCCACCGCTGCCCACAGGCCTTGAGAACGTGGTTCAGAAACTTAGCCAAGAAGGCGTTGAAGCCGTACACAAGCTTCGCTGTCAAAGGCTGAAAAGCATGTGTGATAAGGCCCGTGAGTTGCAGCAGGATGAGGACAAGGATCACGCTGGATTCTCGCCTCACATGCGTCCCATCCTTCAAGGCAAGCGCCTCAGGCTGTTTGAGTGTCTGCTCCAGTCGTTGGACTATCCAGACCAGTCCCTGTCGCAAGACATGAGAGACGGCTTCAGAGTCACCGGATGGCTACCAGACACTGGGACCCGTCCCAAGAAGGTGACTCCCCCAGCCCTTCACAGAGACGAGGTCTGGGGCTCCAGGGATCACAACAACTTAGCCGTTTGGAAACAGTGCAAGCCTACTGGAGACGAAGAGCTTGACGCAGCCTTGTGGCAGCTCACTCTAGACGAGTGTGCAGCTGGTTGGGCCAGTCTCGAGCTTGATCACTATGAGCCACCTCAGTCTTGTGTGCTAGGCAGGCGCTTTGCAGTCCGTCAAGGCAGCAAAATCAGGCCCATTGACGACATGTCCGTCAGCCTTGTCAACCAAGCTTCTCGGCCCGAGCTGTTTGCTGCAAGTCGGGGTGGGCGGCGCGCGTAGCTGTAGCAGTGCGTAGGTGCATGGTTATCAGCTGACGTCGGTGCCTCTGACTCACATCTGGTTTCCACGCATGCTTTACTTTTGGGTTTTGCTTGGTATTCTTTTCCCTTGGTCGTTTTCGCATGGTTTTCATTACAGCGGACTCAGCAGAAATCTCATGGAGCGTGACATGACAGATGCAGCAGCAACGCATGATGTAGAGATGGCCGCTCCGGTCCCAAATCCGGAGGTCGAGTATGAGGAGGACACATCTTTTCATGTTTTCGATAGAAGCGAGGGTTGGAGGCCCCGCCGAGCCTCTGGGAACGGGGATGCACTTGATGATCAGGAACCACGAAGCCCCGTGAAAACAGGCGAATCAGGCCGACCTTGCGGCAAACCTTTTTCCTTTTACAGAAAGCGAGCTTTTAAGCGTGCTGTGGCCAGGGCGACAGTACATGGCACGACACAGTATCGAGGACAGACATGTGATTTACATGCTCTCATGGGACAGTATCAGGCAGGTGGTACGCAGCACTCTGGGCGCGCTTCCAGGATCAACGCTGCAAGCACTGGTGCCTCATCGCAGTTTTCGCTCTCCTGCATGTCTTGGAATTGTGGTGGTCTCAGCTCCCTCAAAGATGAGTTGTTCACGTGGCTCGACGAGCACCCTTACGACATTGTCTTCCTTCAAGAGACCTGGCACAGGCAACAGATGGACTTTGACACACGTGGCTATCACTGCATCGGATCTGGCATAGGCGCGGATGCCAAGAGAGCCCATGCAGGTGTCATGACTTTGCTGCGTAAGTCTGTGTTCCCACAAGATTACATTAGATTTCATGATCCTGTTGCGGGACGCCTCCTCCATATAAGGGCTTGGTGTGCAGGGGGCTGGGTAGACACTGTCAATGTGTATCAGTATGCACTTGGACAAAGCGGTGACCAAGCTGAGATCTTGCGGAAACGCACTACATTGTGGACATCCCTTCGACAGACATATGGACACATCCCACAAGGCAGCACTCTTGTATCTGCAGGTGACTACAATTGCAATCTGACCACCTTGAAGTCTCACACAGGACCGGGCATGCTTACACCGACGACGCCTTCACCGGATATGGAGGACCTCGTGGCGATTGTGCAGGACTTCTCATTGCTTGCTGTCAACACATTCGGCAGGAAGAACAGCTACACTTACGTTCATGAGGGATGCAAGCCGGTGCGACGCTCATTCATTGACTATGTGTTTGTTAGACAGAACAAGCACAGTGATTGCAAGTCTGGCCTTCTGCGTGATTGGCAGGTTGCGCGCTGGCGCAAAGGGGGACGGCATCTCCCGGTGTGGTCACGATTTTCTGTACGGCGGTTCAGGACTCAGAAACCACAGCAGAAGCTTGAATGGCCTCGATGGCGCTGCCGTCTCCTTTCACAGGCTGTCAAGGAGCAGCCACAGTTGGCCGAGCGCTACACGGAGCAGGTCGCCATTGCGTTGCAAGATGTTGATAAGTATGAGCCCAAGAAGCTGAACGCCCTGCTGCTGGAGGTCGGGAGGAAGGTCTTTCATGTACAACGGCCACAGAGCTTGCCGCCGCCCTGGACCGGGGCGCAACACATCGGCAGCATCAAGGACATGTGGCACCATTATCGACTCATGCGCAGGTCCTTCGAGGAGGCCAATCGTTCTCGCGTGGGGCGACTCCGTTCGATTTTGCAGGCTTGGAAGCACAGGGTTCGTTTCTTGAAAATGCATCGTGTGGTTCAAAAGCACTCGCGACAACTACGCAGGACCAGGTTGGCACAGCTGCTTCAGGAAGCGGATGCTCACATACGTTCAGGTTGCAGTCAGGCGCTCTTTGATCTCATTCGGAGAGTGGCGCCCAAACAAGCCCGGAAACGAGCACAATTGCGGTCCAAGGAGGGCAAACTGCTCACACCGGCCGAGGAAGCCCGTGCCCTACAGGATTTCTGAAGATCGGTGAATGGAGCACCAGGGTCCCTGCTACGATCGGGGCAGGCCTCCAGCTACAATATCATCCAGCAGGACATTGAGCGAGCTCTACGTGATCTTCAGGCGAGCAAGGCTGCCCCGCCCCATTGTGCACCACATGCCTTCTGGAAGTTGGCTTCTGCTCCGGTTGCTGCATTCATGGAAGATAAGGTTTTCTCCGGATGGCGAGAAGATCAGGCGTGGGTCCCGGAAGATTGGTCAGCAGCATGGCTGGTGTTCCTACATAAAGTTGGAAAGGCCAATGACGATCCCGCATCATTGCGGCCCATCGCGCTGCTAGACCCCATGGGCAAAGCAGTCAGCGGTGTTTTGAAGAGGCACCTCGAACCGTATCTGCTGAAAGCAACTGCCAAGCTGCCGCTCTTTGGATACCTTGCAAACAGATCCCCGCAACAGGCCCTCACGTTGGTCTATGAGCACTGTGATAGAGTTCGAGCTGCCGCCCGAGCCCAAACTCGATCTTGGTACGAACTACGAGCGGGACAGAAACGGTCCTCGTGTGCCGGGGGACTGCAGGTCAGTGTGGATTTTTCTCAGGCATTTGACCGTGCTGATCGCAAACTTTTGGTACGTGCCCTGCAATTTCTTGAAGTGCCAGATGACTTGACAGATGTGATTCTCAGGTGGACCCAGAATACGATTTTTCACATTGACAAGGCCGATGCATCCGAGCAGTATCATTCCAGCACTGGCATCCGTCAGGGATGCAAGTTGTCACCAACATTGTGGTGCTGTTTGTTTACCTATGTACTACATGTACTGGATCAACAACTTGGTACGGAGTGGAGCTTAGAGCACCTGCTTGGTTTCGCAGACGACATACACTTGCGCTGGGAGTTTCAGGATCGGGACGGTCTACTCAAGGCACGTGCTGAGGCGGGACGCGCACTCAGTATCCTAGAAGACCTCGGTTTCTGTCTTAGTCGGGATAAAACCGTATGTCTGCTCAAGGCGGAGGGGGTACAGGTGCCTCACCTCATGCGCAAAATCACGCGCAAACGCCTGCAGCCTAAAGGCACTCTGCTGGTTCTCGATGAGAGATGGACTTTGCCGCTCAAGCGTGACCACATCTACTTAGGAGCAGTGATTTCATATGGCCATTACGAGATGCTCAATGCCCAACATCGCAAACATGCAGGACAAGCGGCCTTTTCACGCCTACGTACCACTCTCATGTCGCACCGTGCACTATCGCTCGACAAGAGGCTGCATCTGTGGCGCACCATTGTCCTGCCAGCCACTCTGTACTCCCTGTCTTCTTCGGGATACAACAGGAAATCCTTTGATCTCATTCGGGTTTTGATGGTCAGGCAGATTCGGGCCATTGCGCGCAGTCCGCGACATCTCACCGAGGAGAGTGATCTGCATCTGCTTCAGAGGTTACGGCTACCGCAAATCCATGAGATGTTGCTTCAGGTCCACAGTCGTGTTGTCAAAGCCACCACTGTTTTGCGTCAGACCCTGAGTCCACACGATGTACGGCTCACGATGGACATTGTACAACGGGAATGTCGGCTGCTGGAGGATTTCAAGAAACTTGAGGCAGTGGAGGGCAACGCGGATGGTACACAGAACAGGCTCACTTGCGAGTATTGCGGGCAATCCTTCGACAATGATGCTGCCCTGCGACAACACAAAGGTCGTATGCACAGCAAGGACCGCATGGAGGCCGCACCCACGGTCTTCGACAGGCAACAACATGGCACTGACGGCATGCCGCGATGCCGCGGTTGCGGGCATCCTTTCGCCAGGTGGGCGGACCTCCAAAAGCACATCGAAGAGAATCATTGCCAAGGTCAACGACAGGCGGAACCGTCAGCCCCTGAGGAGCGACCCTCTGTTCTGCAACAGGCTCGTGATGGCACGCTGCCAGTGCAAACGCTCCATTTATCCATGATGACGGACGAGCTAAGGCAGGAACTGCTCTCACACTGTGCTTGCTGTAGACAGTGGATGCCCAATTCCAGATACGTCAAGATACACTGGGGCAGAGTGCACAAAACTGAATCCCAGAAGTTTCAGGCTCGCACACTTCAGTGGCGCCGTCTCTCTTTCGAGCCTATCAAGCATACATGCTCGTGGTGTCAGGGTACAGCTGCGGATCGCTCGGATCATCGTGACACCTGTCCGGTCCTCTTTCAACTCAGTATGGTACGGGCCCTCATTGTGAGCACTGACGAGGTGGAGTCTTCTGAGGACGCGGCAGTGACGCTGGACATGACCATTCCAGCGAAGGATGACATACCGGCGTGGAACATGGAGTGTATGTTGTGTCGTGAATCTTGCACTGCCAGAGGGTTGCGCAAACACTTTGACCAGAAGCACCATGTGGTTTGGAATCAGGCTCAACCTAAAGTTGACTTGCTTTGCGCGGCGTGGGCAAAGGGGCTTGAAACTAAGTGTCAGTTTTGCAACGGTACCTACAACAAGCGCAATCGGCATGCCATCACCTGTCCTGCTATTACACAGACTGCCCTGGCGCGCGTGTTGAGCCATACCTCTGCCCCGGCAACGAGTGCACCCCCAGCAGATGGCGACTGCAATGACCCCCGGTGCAGCACAGGCGGCGATTCAGGAGGTGTTCGGGTCTCTGGTCGCGGAGAGCGGGCCGCTGATGGACTTCGGCGCGAGCCTCAATCTGGGCAAGCGCATCGCGGAGACTCCGCAAGGGCCCCTGACAAGCCGCCCAACCAAAACGGGCCGCCTCAACAACGGCCAAAAGGGAGGGCGCGGCAAAGGAGGGCGTCCTTGGCACCAGCAGGGCAGACGCTTTGTTTCCGAGTCCAGCCAACAGCAGCAACAGGAGGAGGTGAGCATGGAGGACCTGTTGCGACTCCTGTCTTCGATCATCATGCGACACGAGGACCAGTTGAAGATTATGAGACAATCGACGGGATGGGTGTTGTTCGCCAAGACAGCAGCTCCGTCCATTGTACCGGGGATCATCAAAGCCTCCATGAAGTGGAAGGCCGAGGTAGTCAAACCGGACTGCCAGTTCGCTCACGTGAGCTTGCGTGCAATCCTCTTCTGGAATCTGGTGGAGCAGATGCTGGCGGTGCTCCAGGGACTCACCACGGAGATGAAGGACAAGGCTGTGGCAGAGGGGTGGATGAACAGTGCGGGAGCATGGGTGTTTCAGGAGTGGTCTCACGAGAAGCATTGCTTGCAAGTCGACAGCAACAAGACCCCAACGACAACGGAGGATCTCCTCAACACCCTGCGGGAGCTGAAAACTCTCGCGACCTCAGAGGTGATTTCGGCGTTCTTCTCGAATCGGCCATTGACGGAACACATGCAAGGACACATGGTAGTGTTCCAGCTGGATGTGTCATTCAGAAAGGAGGTGGCGCACCGCTTCTACGTGCTGTTGGAAGCTCTTCAAGGGCAGGCTTCCCTTCAACTCTGCGGGGTACAACTACGCAAGGAGGGCTTTCGCCGGTCGCCGGCGGTACAGAAGCTGGCAGAGATGCTTCGATGAGGACGCTCATCCTGCGCAACCCTTCCAATTACTGTTACATGAACTCAGTGATACGGAGCTTGCTGTGGACCATTGTGCAGGACCCCATGCTTGATGGCTCTTTCAACAGCGCTGGGCTCACCTTCCTTAAGAAACTTCTGCAACACCAACAACAACCCGTGTTTATCGCAGGTCAGTTGATGTTCAACTTTGCCCTTCGAGGATGGAGGTCACCGGCAATGCAACACGATTGTGCAGAATTCTTCTCACACATCATTGACCGCTTGGGCATCACAGCGTTTGAAGGAGAGTGGGAGGCCCGCACTACGATTGAGGACCCTCCGGGACGGTTTCGGTGTGAGTGCTCTGATGCTGGTCGATGTACGCAGGCGATATCAATCGACCTACCTGAGGGGCGAGTGCACACTGCTCAGTATCTCCTACACTGCTGGCACACGCAGGCTCACCCACATGCCTTGAAGGTCGCACCAGCTCTTCTGCTGCTGCGCTTTTCTAGATATGTACAGGCGGGACGTAGGATTAGAAAACGAGCCTGTAAGATCACTTGGCCAAAGCAGCTTCACATGCCACTTTTCAGGGGGAATGATGACCAGTCATCAGGCACGATCGCCTACGATGTGATAGCAGCCATTTCGCATCATGGTCCCAATCTGAGTGCAGGGCATTATACCACCTTGCTCCATGCAGCAGGGGGCGATCTTCATTGCGATGACAATACCGTTCCAGAGTTCAGGGCTAAGGCCTCAGGAGACATTACACCATATTCGTCCAGTACAGTTTATCTTTTGGTATGCAGGCGCACAACGGAGTCTGGCCCTTTGTTGGTCGGATGAATGCGATCTTCTTTCATTTTGGGGACCCACAGCCCTGCCAGCACAGGTCACTCCTGGGGTGAAGTGAGTGACGGTCCACCGGCTGTGACATGTTTTCTAGGGGATTTGCTCTCAGTGCAAAATCAGTGGAGCTTGCTAATGTCTTCAGTGCGGCCGTGCATCAGCGTGACTCTTGACTCATCACATTGTACAGCTGGGCATGCTTGCCGGTGCACTCCAGTTCCAGCTTTTCTTTCGTGTGCGCCAGCATGAACTTACATTTCGCGATACATCACGGTACAAGCTACATCTTTTATACAATGGTTTCTTGGACATGAACTGGTTTTCAACATATGACGAGCACACATGATCCGGATGCCACCATCTATGCGCCCTGGTTTGTGGAGGGGCGCTTTGATGCGAATCTTTACTATCATGATTGGCCGGATCCTTATGAGCCCACATCGCCTACAGTGCTTGATTCCGATGGGCAGTCCAGTTCTTCTGCACATACAGTGGAATACATTCGCGATGACAGTGTGGATGTTGGACCGCTCATGCTGCGTTTGTCATTCTATGTAGGTACTCCCAGTCTGCCGCTGATCGAGCCTGACCCTAGTCACACCGCGGAGTGCATGGCCAGGCACTTTCTACGCGTTGGCAGCTTCTTTGAGGATCAGCTATCTTCGTTGTGGGACCTACTTCCACATGACAGCCCACGTGGACATCAAACACTTCTGGATGGTGGATTCTCATTCACCACAGGTGCTTTTCAGGCTGGTGGCTTGGTCGGCGTACGTAGCAACGCGCTTCAGATGCCATGGGTCACTGCACTGCTTTGTCGTATTGTGCACTCTGTTCTGCTTGGCGAGGGAGCTGAGGATTACCACTTCACTTCGCTTACGCTTTTGCGGAATGTGCATTCTGGCATACATCGAGATGGCAACAATCATCCTTCATGCAACAACTTGCTTATACCCTTGAGCCGCTTCTCCGGCGGTGAATTATGGTGCTACAATGCTGCTTCAGGGGATGTTTGCTATCCGGGCACTGTTCTGCCAGGGCTGGCTCATGCGGTGACTCCACCTTTTCTGGAGTTCGACTCACGTGAGCTGCATGGCACTCTTCACTGGACTGGCGTTCGTGTGATACTCGCGGTGTTTCATATGAAAACTCCGGAAGACTTGAGTGATGGCGAGATGCAATTCCTACGGCAGGTGGGTTTTCAGCCGTTGCTTTCCAGTGAGATGAGTGAGACCACGTTGCGGTAGTGTGAGCCGTAACTCTAGAGTGCTGCGCCTTGCTGTAGTTCTGTAGTGCTTGACTTTTGAGTGACTTCCGGCTAATGCCTGTACAAATTCCAAGTAGGTACCGTGATTTGTACAGTCGTTGTGACTTGGCGATGTAACGAGTTGCCCGGTCCTTTCTCGTAGTGTCTTCTGTAGTCTTACTGAACTTGTGTGTCGTGCACACGAGTGCAATCTTTTACGCTTTCTGTAGTTTGCTGCATGATCACATCGCTTTTGGGTGCTACACCGGGTGTGATCTGCTGTGTTGCTTTTGGTGCTTAGGCACGGACATGGCTGAGACCTTGAGTCTCCGGGCTGTAAGCCTGTTAGGCCTACTCTAGGCGACCTTCGGGACAGGACGCTGAGTGTGAAAAAAAAAGCCTTGTCAACCAGACATTGGGTGCTGACGAGAAAATAGTGGTACACCCCACTTCCTGTACCCTGGCCTTAGCCTTGCATCTGCAAGCCCGGTGCAGTCACAGACAGGCCGGCCAGGGCATCAAAGGCAGGACCTTTGACCTCAAGCACGCTTACAAGCAGCTTGGACTAAACCCTGCAGACCTGCAGTTCTCAAAGGTGGTCGTTTGGAGCCCGGAGCACAAGAGGCCAGTCGTGCTCAGCCTGTTAGCGCTCCCTTTTGGAGCAACAGGATCAGTCCATGCCTTTAGCAGGTGCAGTCTAGCCATGTGGCATGTCGCAGTCTCGTGGCTTTACCTGCCAGTGACTGTTTTCTTCGATGATTTCTCATCGATCAGCCTGGCATCGGACACAGTGAACGTGGAGGCAGCCATGCTGCTACTTTTCAAGGCCCTTGGTTGGCAAGCAGCCCTAACAGGCAGCAAGGCGTCCGGCTTTGCCGAAGCCTTTGTAAGTCTTGGCATAGCGTACATTCTGCCGAAGCAGCCAGACCAGCCGATCTGCCTGCAGAACACAGAGTCTAGGAGGAAGGAAGTGGCAACCACTTGTCTGAAGGCGCTTCAGACTGGGCACATGTCCCCAGCAGAGTGCCTAGCATTCGCTGGGCGCCTCAGGTGGCTAGACGCCCAAACCTTTGGAAGGGTTGGCAGACGCGCCTTCAGGACCATCCTTCTGCATGGGCTCAGACCAGGGCGCAGGCACCCGCTCAGTCTGACGACAGACCTGCACCAGGCCCTGACTTGGGTGCTGGAGCATGTGCCCACAGCTGAGCCCAGGGCTTTCAGGCTTCCCCAGACGCGTTCCTTCAACATCTTCACTGATGGCTCCTTTGAGCAAGGGCATGGTCGGATTGGTGGTGTGCTCTGTGATGCTGGAGGGCAGCCTCGAGAGTGGTTCCAGTCTTCTGTGCCACAAGACGTCATAGCCACGTGGTGCTCCGATGGGACATCGCACCCCATCCTGCAGACAGAGATGCTCGCAGTCTGCGTTGCAGCCATGCTGTGGAGTCAGAGGTTGAGGGGAGAAAACGTGATCTTCTGGATTGATAATGAGGCAGCTAAACACTGCCTCATTTCAGCCCGGGGTTACCCGCAGTCGAACAGCCTGCTTCTTCAGACGGTGCTCATCTGTGAGCATCAACACCAGTTGAACACTTGGTTTTCTCGTGTTCCGAGCATTTCCAATCCTGCAGACGCACCCAGCCGAGGGGAGACAGCCGATTTTCTGACAGGCACGACACAACAGGAAGTGAAGGTGGGGAAGATTAGGTGTCTGGCCAGAGGTGCTGTGCCGCGTGCTCACCTGCAGCCGCCTACTTGAAAGGAAGTGGGGACTTTTCAGACCTCGCATCCCTGAACAGACGGTTGCAGTCTTCAGCCTGAACAGACGGCCAGTCCTAGTCCGGAGACAGACTTCGAGGACGGCCGGTCCTTTGAGATTGCGGCACAGGACTTTCCCCACCTTCAGAAAAGGAGCTCTGCATTTTAGTAGAGTCGCTGTTCGTTAAGTTCTGCATGCTTGCATCAAACATTAACGGTTGGCGACGGCCATTTTGGGTCAAGTCGCCAAGTTTTTCAGCCCGCCCTCCACGCCCTGATGAGAAGGGTTCTGGATCCCAGTTGGGAGTGTGGCTTTGGCTTTGGTCCTGTCAAACGCAGCCGCCCTGAACTTCGTTTGCCTTGGGAGGACCCCACTTTTCAGTTTGTCAGCCAGGACGTGAGTTTCCTAGACAGGCTACAGGAAGAGCTTCTGGAATTGCCTGAGCCTGCAGTTTTGCCAGCCCCTCAGCTGTCAGCCGGAGCACAGCCGAGACTTCAGCCGCCGACAGCCCCGCGGCCCAGACTCCGCGCGCTGTCTCAGTGGAAGCCACAGGACAGTCAGGCAGAGAGACAAGCGGCCTTGTCACGGTGGAGCCAGCTGCTTAGAGCGGTTCCTCACTTCTTCACTGAGTCTTTTCAGCTCGAAGTCGTGCATGAGGACAGCCAAATGGAGCTAGGTAATTTCGACTTGCGGTTCGCCAAGAAGAGTACAAACACTCTTCTCAACAGGATCAGCAGCATGCAGCGCTTCGCAGCCTGGACCGTCAAGTCTTTTCCCAAAGAGCCCCTAGCCGAGGCACTAGTCTTTTTGTACTGCCAGCAGCTCAGTCAGAAACAGGCCAGCACAAGCGCACCAGACCAACTCTGCCAGGCACTCAACTTTACAGACGGCGTGCTCGGACTGCAGGTTCCTGCCAGCACTCTGGTGAGCTCTCGAGTTCAGGGCTTGGCTCACCAGTGCCTCAGACAGCAACAGCCACCAAAGCAGGCTCCAGCACTCACCACAGACCAGGTCCGGTGGTTACAGACCTTTGCAGAGTCAGACGAAAGCCAATACGAGAGGTATTTAGCATCTTCCTTCTTGTTCATGATTTACGCGAGGGCAAGGCACAGTGACATGAAGCGAGCCAAGTCAATTTCAGTCGACCTTGATGACCGAGGCACAGTCGCGTACATTGAATGTCAGGTGCTGAATCCAAAGCAGAGCAAGGCCAGTCGCAGGAGGAACCTGTTCCTGCCGCTCGTAGCCCCTGCGGAGGGCATCTGCGCGCAGTCATGGACAGTCGAGTGGCTCGACCTCAGGAGACATCTAGGTCTGCAGTGCAACGGCAGCCTCGAAGACAGCCCCCTCCTGCCGGAACTGGCAGCCGACGGCAGACTTCTTGAGACCAACATGGACTCAGCCAGTGCTTCGAGGTGGCTTCGCTGCATTCTGTCCAGACAGCCAGGATCAGACGAGGACAGCATCCTCAAAGTTTCCAGTCAAGGACTCAAGGCCACCTGTCTTTCATGGTGTATGAAGTTTTCTGTTTCGGATAGTGACCAGACTCTTTTAGGCTACCATAGTCGTGGCAAGAGTGGAAGCGCACTCAGCTACGGCAGAGACGCGCTAGCTGGACCTTTGCGTGCACTGGAAGGTGTTCTAGCAGCCGTGCGCCAAGGAAAGTTCAGACCAGACAGCACTCGTTCAGGCAGGTGGCAGACTGGTGCAGCAGCCTCGTCAGCAGCATCTTCGTCACAGCAGCCTCAGACCAGCCAGAGCGCGGAGTCCTTGGTCCAGCCCGTCGTAGACAGTGCCAGCTCCGAGTCGGAGGCAGTCAGTGAGGGCTCGTCAGAGGAGGAGACGCAGGTTTTGCAGTCAGTCAGTCATAGCCTTGCACTAGTCGCAGGCGATGACAACTTTCAGTTTCTGTCGAACGTTCGTAGTGGCATTGTTCACATCTGCCGTGTGGACAACGACAGGTTGTTGTGCGGTAGAACAGTCTTTGACAGTCTTCAGGTTGTGCAGACCCTGGACTTTTCCAAAGTCAAGGCTTGTCTTACTTGTCAGTCTGTGGCAGACGGTCTAATAGCCGGTCGTTGGGCCACAGGCTCCTAAAATTTTTCGTTCATGGGCAAGGGGACTTTTCAGACCTCGCATCCCTGAACAGACGGTTGCAGTCTTCAGCCTGAACAGACGGCCAGTCCTAGTCCGGAGACAGACTTCGAGGACGGCCGGTCCTTTGAGATTGCGGCACAGGACTTTCCCCACCTTCAGAAAAGGAGCTCTGCATTTTAGTAGAGTCGCTGTTCGTTAAATATATATATGTATATATATATATATGTATGTATGTTTTGTACGGCTTAGACAGTCTACCAGCGATGTCAGACCTCGTGCGACCGCTGACGTACACACATGCTACCAACACCAAATGCCATTAGATTCACGCAATTTTCACCTGTCCGCCGCAGCTGCTGCTGTTAGTACTACGACGGCTCCTACTAGTGCCATTAAAAGATGATAACCCGCAACATCAAAGACATCTAGATATCTACAAAAGAAAGTTTGAAACAAACATTCGACGTCAGTGTTACTTTTGATACATGTCATTGTTTAATGTCCCCATTCACAACTGCTTCCCTCTATGCACTGCTGGGATTCGAGGATTCGGAGGACAAGTAGTCCATGAAAAAGAATCTGCAATAAATCCCGCTCTTAGGGAGACGGCAGAACACAAGCCTTCTGTCAATTAGAACGCTACTTGGACACAAAAAGACATGTTGCACGGCTAATTCCCAAAGTGCTGTACCCTGGGCGTGATGAGCAGGATGTCCAGCTGGTCCTGCCGACCGTCTGGCGTTACTGAGAGTATCTGCCGACAAACTTCCATGGAAGCACGCTTGCCGGACCTCTCCAGATATGGGATGTGCAGCATGTGTACACGTTTCCAGCAATTCAAGCCGACATGATCGTAAACTGCTCCTGCTATTCCAGGCATCCACGCCTCAAGCCTAAGCACACCGACGGGACAGCTTTCTGATATTTGCCCCCCCCCACGGCAATCAGGATTCTGGGCCTCCCCATCCCCGTTTTCATTTACGCCTTGCAGCGGTGCACTCTTTGACGTCGCCATGGTGCTTGGTGTGGGGGTGAGCTATGTTTGGAGTTGCTTCGGGCAGCTTGTTCTGCCTTTCGTATGTGTCTTCATCTTTGCGTTCGGCTGCTTGGTCTGTGGAGCGTTGATTGGGCGCCCTGTTGCAAGGCACGGCAAAGTGTTTTAACCGCTAGCGCGAGAGGAACTGTGGGATACACGACAGCCAACGGCTGGGCGACCTCCCACTCGCGTTTGCAGCAAGACAAGAACTTGCGCGTTGGCAGTGCAGATAGGCTAGCAGATCGGAAGCCTTTAGATCTGGTTCGAAGCAAGAGCAAGGCCGCCCCTTGACAGCGGCCCGAAAGACAAGAAGGCACCCATCCCACAAAAACACAAAAACACATTCACAAATCCCATTGTCGGCCAGTGTTCTCCTCCGGGCCGAAAGCAAGACGCACCTGTCACCATGTGCTTAGGAACTTTAGACGAGTAGCTTGCATTTCTCCTCCAACACTTGACCAGGTGCTGCAGGAAAAGAAACGGTCCAATGCTAAGGTTTTTAGGTTCGCAGCCCGTCCTGCAACCTTCGGCCTGAACCGAGGCAAGCATTCCTCCAGGCAGCTTTGGAGCGTGCCAGTGCCTCAACCGAGGAAGAGCTAGAGCGAGGCTGTGCCTGGAGTGCCGAAGGCGCAGGCTGGTGGCCAAGCCCTGCGCATCGCGTCCACGATGACCTCGCAGCGCCAGCTTGCTCAGTGCTGGTTCCATGGTATGAGCTCTGCAAATTTTGCAGCGTTCACCGCAGGGAGGAACAGAATGCACACTCAGTTGCCCGAGGTCAGGAAGTTGTAGTGGGAGCCGAGGGCCCAGTTCGCGCGGCCAGTTTGGCCGGACTCGGTCGGATGATGCAGCCGCAGAGTGGTGCACCAGGCCCAAAATCAGCTTCTGGCTGGGAAAGCTTTGCTGTCTTCTCTTCTTCGGGAGTACCAGGCATCGAGTCATTTTGACAGATGATCCGTCGGCCACTGTTCGCTGCAGGCGCGGCAAACGCAGGAAGGGAAGGCCCAACTTGAGACGAGACGAGGTCCTGACGACGACCTCAGGCCTGCTCATGGCATCCGTTATGTTTGCGAAGCTGTCCAAGCCTCACTCCGATCGTTGCCAATGCAAGTCTTTGCTGGAGGGCTTTGCAAGCAGAGCTTCAAGGGATTCGGTCGGAGATGGCGGCGGAGCAGGCATGAAGCTGTTCCTTCTCGGACAGGAGTTGTGCTCAGTCGCTTGCAGGTACGAGCAGCGCGGATCAATCAGCCAGGAAGACAGATGTGGGAGCAAGGCCTCTAGTGACTCCTTGAACCGAACCCCCAGGCAGACGCAGGTCTTGGAATCCGAGAAGCGGTCCTTGCAGGCCTGGGGCGCAACGCTGGGATTGGGCCCCCCCCCCACGGGGCATCTTTTGGAAGGGTGGTTTCAGTGCCAGGGCAAGGCGGCCGACCGGTCGGCCGATGCAATGTCCGAGTGTCGACCTGAGAGCCGAAGGAAGCGCCCAAGGGGCCCCGCAATGCCCCGCATCTTCCCCCCCGGGCCCAAGGTTGCAGATGCAGATCCAGGCGCTCCGACTTTCGCAAGCATTTTTTTCACATCTGTCGGCAGCCAGGAGCTGGCCTTTGGAGACGAGGTGGGCGGCGGGCGGCAGCACAAAGAGATGCATCCGAGCAGTGCAAAAAATCTGTTGCACCGATGTTCAAAGCGCAGTCCAGAGCTGTGATGGATGTCAGACCGCCTCACCGCCACCGCTTCCTGAACGGTCATGCGGCTCGAGTGTAGTTGGTAGTAGATAGCGTTCTGAAAGTTCACGGTGACACGGGTGGCAGTGGGAGCCCCCTGTCCCAGGCTTGACGATTGCACTGACACGGTCGACAGAATCCCGGACTGAGAGATTTGCTTTGCCGTGTGCTGTGCTGGAAGGCCGAGCGATGGGACGTCTCGGGCTGCTCTTTGAGATGCGGCATGCAGAGACCAGGCAAGCCCCGCTACCAATTGTCTTCCTTCCTCCTACGCCACTGCCTGGAACTTTACAGGCCCGGCGAAACGGTGACTGTCGTCGGCGCCCGCACGGAGTGGGGACCTCGAAAGTCGTCGATTGTTATTGCCAGAACAGAGTCAAGACTGTTGCTTTGCAAGGCTGGGAGCATGGGACTGCTACACATCGGGATTGCCCAGTGCCCGGCGTTCCAGTCAACGACGGCACAGCATCCAGCTTGCCAAGGCAACTTCGAACGGGAGCTTCGTGCTATCCTTGCTGGGCAATGCGGTTGCCCAAGTCTTACACTGTCGGAGGTGTGGTCTCCTGAGATCCCATTGAGGTTGGCGCCAGTGTGGGTCTCGCATGAAGCCGAGAAGAGGATCAAACTCAAGCAGTGCTGTACCTAACTTCGCGAAGCGGAGGCCGGAAACAAGTGACTCATCGGCTTCGTTGTGTCGCTCGGAGATCTTGGTTTGCATTTTCTTCAACTTGCAACTGCGAGTATGTCACTTGCGCGCAGGACCTCGACACTCCAGGGCACTCCGTTGCCAGTCCACGGATCGCAAGTCCCTGCAGCCGGATCGAAGCATAGCACCTCCTTTGCATGTTCCTTGCTCCAGGTACGTGATGCTTCTGTAATCCCAGAGGAACCTGAAGTGGTTTCAAGTGGCGACAGTCCAGGTCTCAGCCTTTTCATGTTGGAATGTCTAGTTCATGTCAGCAACGGCTTGCACCAGATTCGACGTTCAGGTGGGGAGGCAGAGGCTTCACAAGCTTCTCATTTCATCCACATTGAGTACAAATATGTTAAGGCTATGCGACGGCAGCAAATAGCACAATTGTCGCTTCAACGGCCCTGCCAGGACCGCCGACAAGTCAAGGATTGTGGGCCGTCTATTCAATGGGAGGAGCCTCGATGTGTCAATGTGCTGCGGGCTGGCATGGCCAACCGGAAGAATGCAATCTTTTCCCGTGGGAACATGCTGCAGAGGACAGCATAGCCAATCGCCTGGTAAGCTTACCATTCGAGCTGGAGAGCTTAGCTGCATTGCATTTCGGCTTGTATACCTCCATCCCACAAACTCATTGCAACTGACAGGCCAGGAAGTATCTGGATCATCTCGGACTCGAAATTCAATGACGTGCTGCTGGCCTGTTGACTTTGGGATACTTTGGAAACGTTGGAAATTGCAAGGCGCACATGTATGTGTGAGAGACTGAGGTCAGGGAACAACCCCGAATCGTTCGAACAACTCTGGTGGAGATTTTGGCCCGCTCGGAGCCTTACGATCATCCTTGTTCATGGAGGTTGAGGGCGTGCATACATCGAGGTGTGAGAAATTAAACGTCCGCATGTATTTTGGCCTGCCAAGGTCGCGACAAGCTGGACATGGAGTTCCGGCATTCGCTGCAGGAGCAATCAGTGCCTCATTCCGGTAGCAGAAAGCGAAGTGTGGGTTTCCACAGGATGTCTCTCACTCTCCGGAGTGGAGCGGACGAGAGCCTGAAGACGACGGGTCGGAGCCATGGGTCGCTGTTGCCTTGGAGAGCATTGCAGAGCTGTGCCACAGTTGTCAAGGTCAAGTCACCATAGTGGTGGAACGAATTGGAGCACTGGCCTCACATCTGTTGGAGTTTCTACACGATTGTCACTCCCGTGGCTCCAATCCCAGGGGCGGGGATCGCACGGTGGGGCAGGAAGTGACTGTTCGCTGGTATTACTTGAGCAGATGACCAAATTGTTGCCAGCGGCATTGATGGCAATACTGGTGATCCTGAGCTTGGTTCTTCGACAGCATGTACATTACCGGTTCCTTGAAGTACAGCCAAACGAGTCAAATGTCGATTTTGAAAGAAGTTAGAGCTTGTCTTCATGGCCGGTGTATAATCGGTATGGTGATTGATTGCATATGTGTTGCTCTTCATGTCAAAATCTTGCACCGCGAACTTGCCTTCGTCGCCGGTGTCTGAGTGAGTCAGTCAATCTGAGCAGGGAGAAAGTAGTAGTAGTAGTAGTAAGTAGTAGTAGTAGTAGTAGTAGTAGTAGTAGTAGTAGTAGTAGTAGTAGTAGTAGTAGTAGTAGTAGTAGTAGTAGTAAGTCGTAGTAGTAGTAGTAGTAGTAGTAGTAGTAGTAGTAGTAGTAGTAGTAGTAGTAGTAGTAGTAGTAGTAGTAGTAGTAGTAGTAGTAGTAGTAGTAGTAGTAGTAGTGTAGTCCTAGTAGCAGCAGCAGTACCAGGAATAGGAAGAGTGGGAGGGGGGGTCGTCGAGCAAGCCCTGCCCTGGCCGAGGGGTCCATGACGGGCCCCCCCCCGCGTTTTTCCTATTTCCGCTCCCGGGACGGTGCCGGGAGCAGGGACCGGGAAGAAGCAAGAGCCGAGGAACAGGAAGAGTTGGGGGGGGGTGAAGCAAACCCTGTCATGGGCGAGGGATCCATGACGGCCCCCCCCAGGTTTTTCCTATTTCCTGGTGTCGTGGTAGTAGTAGTAGTGTAGTAGTAGTAGTAGTAGTAGTAGTAGTAGTAGTAGTAGTAGTAGTAGCCGCCACGGCTCAGACGTTTTGGAAGTTTCGCGCTGGCTTTCGAACAGGCTCTGGATTCCAACCTTGCGTTGCTAGAGGTCTCAAACAGGCCTCTCTCCGAACGACTAAGGGTTGGTTCTTCACGCTGAGCCATGTGCCATGTGCCAACAGTTTGCGTCCAATTCCTGGACCCAGTACCCTGTCTCAACACGGGCCCACTGGGCAGGCGGTAGGGTTTCCACTAGCCGCGTGGTGGAGGGAGTCACTCGGCTTGCCTTGTGACGAAATAGCGGATGGCGCTGCTCCCAGTGCACTCACAAAATTATTCTCATATCAGGAAGAATTCTTTCAAGCATGTTTGCCGACAGGTGGCTGCAAGCCAGCAGCCTGTTTCTTACCGAGGTCAGGTTCTGACCCCAGCTCTTTGCGCATGGGCAACTGCCCACCGCAGCCGGGCTCCAAGCAGTCTTTTGCACCACGATCTCGGGCAGGACAGGCCACCAGGCCTCTCCGAGTACTGTCCTGGAATGCAGGCCATCTTGGCCAGCAGCAATGGTCGGAAGTCAAATCATGGCTCTCCACTGAGGCACACCACACCTGTGATGTGTTCGTCCTGCAGGAGACCCACTGGCAGGCTACGGCCGAATTTAGTGTTGCAGGCTGGTACTGCATCTCGTCTGCTTCTGCTGCAGATCCGAAGGCCTCTAGACGAAAGCAACGCGGGGGCAAGGCCCATAAACAGTCACCTGCAGAGGCAATGCCTAATGACGATAAGATGACCCCACCCCGCAAGGAGCCCTCAACAACTCGCGCGGACGGGGTTATGGTTTTCCTGTCCCCACACATACTGCCCAAAAGTGTGCGCTGGCAGGAACATGTCATAGGCAGAGCCCTGGAGGTCAGGTTTGACTGGCACGGGGCCCGCATCAACCTGGTTGCTGTGTATCAACACGTCTGGGCACCGGCCAAGCAGGTACAGACCAATCGTCAGGACAGAGCACATGTCCTGAAGGCTCTTAGCAGATGCGTGCAACGCGTGCCGCACAGGGACACGCTTATCCTGGCAGGAGATTTCAATAGTTCCTTGCAAAAGCAGCCTAGGCTGGTTGGTCCAGAGATCATTAGCCCACAGGAACCGAGATCTGATGAGCCAGAGCTTACCAACTTTCTGCTTAATCATCGCTTGGTTGCCCTCAACACGTGGAGGCCTCAGCCGCCACATACGTTTCAGCAAGGGGATACGCGCACTCAAATTGACTTTGTGCTTACGAGGGAGGTCTCTGCTGGAGGAGCTGCCAAAAACTCTACGCCGCTGGCAGCTTTCCCGCTTGGAAGCTGGAAGAAAGGCGGGCACTTACCCATCAGTGCAGCTGTCAAACCAGTTCGGCACTGGAACCTGCCAGCCCCTCAGATACAGCAGCATCATTATGACACCGCTGCTCTGCAAGCGGCTGTCAGGGACAACACGCTGCCAGCTCAGCACATGCTCGAGTGGGTTACAGCACGACTCACTCCGGACATGCAGCCGGCGTCATGGGATCGCCTCCTTGGCGAAGCCGCATCCAGGTTTTTCCCTAAGACCCCAGTGGCAATGCCAGATAGTCCGGAGACGAGCCTTGCCAGACGCATGTGGCGCTCGGCGCGTGGGAGCAATGCTCACCCCAGTGCGGAGCCATCGCCGGAGGATGAAGCCCGGCAGAGGCTGTGTGATCAGCATAAACAGGCGGTTAAGCAGGCTCGCAAGGACCAGACCAAACGGTTTCTTGCTGAGGTTGATCAGGCTCTGAGCCAGGGCGATCAGCACCTGGCATATCAGACTCTTAAGCACCTCCGGCCGTGGAAACCGGCTTTGAAAGCTCAGCTTAAGGACGCGCACGGCTTCCTGCTCAGTCCTGCAAACGAACTGGATGAACTGGGGAAGTATGCAACTAAGGTCTTTGCGGCGCACCCACAGCTCCCGTCTGATTCGGGACTCCTGCCCCTATTGCCACAGACCAAGTTAGCAAAACATATTGCCTCGATCAAGCCTAGCAAGGCAGTTCCGAAAGGAGCGGCACCGGCCGCAGCCTGGAAGCTCTGTGCTCAGCCGATCTCTGCGGCGCTTTCACAATACTGTCAAGCCTGACGCAGGACCAGTCACTGGACGACGATCTGACTCGCGCAGATCTCTGCTTAATCCCAAAACCGGGCAAGCCGGCTGACAAGCCTTCACAACTCAGGCCGCTGGGCATTCTTCGCCCGGATGCTAAAGGACTGGCGGGCACGGCCAAGGAGCTCCTGGAGCCTTTCACGCTGCCATACATGAAGCCTCTACCCCAGTTTGCATACCTCCCTGGGAGAGGTCTTTCGGATGCACAGAGCAGAGTGGTTCAGCATTTAAGGGAAGCAAGGCAGCTCTGTCGCAATGCGAATCTCACCCGAGCGGATCAGCAGCGGGGACAATGTCCTGTAGGTCTCGTCGGCGGCATCACTTTCGCACTAGACCTGTCACAGGCATTCGACACTGTGTCCCGAAGTGAGATCTTGTCCCTGCTAGATGAGCTGGGCGCGGATCCCCCGCTTAAGAAACTCATACACGGCCTTCATCATCGATCTAAATACAGACTTCATTCTCAGGGGGCCTACAAGGACGTGGAAACTACCACTGGCATCAAACAAGGCTGCAAGTTGGCCCCCACGCTGTTTTCCGTGCTCACAGGCCGCCTCCTTCATAGACTGATAGACGCATTTGGCTGGGACACTGTCCGCAGATACTTTACAGGTTACGCGGACGACTTCACCATGCATCGCACCATCCGCAGCCAAGCAGACGTGGACGCTGCTCACAAGATGATCCTACAGCTTCTGTCGGAGGTGACGAAACTGGGATTACGCGTCAACCCGGCCAAATGTGCCATGCTAGTCAAGCTTAACGGCAGAGAGGCGGAAGCCGTGCTTCAGAAGCACACCTGCTGGCTGCCCGACTCGACGGGCACACTACAGCGGCATTGGCGACTGGGCAAGCACAGATCCTTCCCTGCATACAAACTTGAGGCGCAAATCAAGCACCTGGGCATCCAAATTTCCTATGGGAACTTTGAAATGCAGACGCTGCGATTCCGCATAGCGGAGGCTGCCAAAAAGCTCCAGCAGGTCAAGCGATTCGTCTACAATCGCCGCACCGCGGGGCCAATGGCCAGGCTAAAGGTCTGGTTCACCACCGTTTGGGCCACCTTGGTCACGGGACTCCCCGAAGTCGGCCTCACGGAGGAGACGGCCAGGCATCTTAGAGGCTGGTATGCACACAAGATACGCTCGGTCCTCAATCAGCCTGCACACGTCGGCCACACACCTACAGCTGACCTGTACCGACTATATTCAATCCAAGACCCGGTAGCCAAAATCCAAACAAGGATGGCTTCTAGACTCAAGCGGTTGTGCAAGAGAACAGCCCCCTCCGAAGCCACCACTACAGCCCTGCCTGCACACACTCCCAGTGAACCCTCAGCGACGCGGGGCCCATGGGCCAGGCTGAGTCCACCAGCGACGGGCCTAGCAACACACCAGCAGCCGTCTGAACCACATACATACGGTGACGTCACGCAACTGAGCCACGTCGTACAGGACCTACAGGACATGCTGAGAGAGGTGGAAAACCTCCCGGCGAGCACCGAGGCCTCACAGCAGCGGCTACACGCCTGCCCTCACTGCGAGTCGGGTTTTGTCTCTGCACATGGCTTACACATGCACGTCACGCGAATGCATCGCGAGCACGTGCAAAGGTACATTCCCCCCTCCTTTGATCGCAGTCGGCACTCCAAGGATGGTCTACCTGTATGTTCTGCATGCGACAAGGCTTTCCATCAATGGAAAGGCCTACGTGACCATCTCTTATCGGGGGCCTGCACGCAGCCGGAACGACTGCGTCAGATCTCTCTCACCACTGAGGAACAGATGCAGGGTCAGGCCCTCCAGGGCCTGGCGGCCTTTCGCGCCAAGGTGCAGAGTTCGCCCAGCAACAAACTCAGTGCCATTGCCACCCGGCCAGAGGCTCAGGAGCTTAAGCATCGGTGCATTTTGTGCGGTTTTTGGACCCCGGACCATACCAAGATGAAGAATCATCAACGACAGGCCCATGCACAAGCATGGCAGCGAGATGGTCCGGCAGCACTTCAGCTTTGCAAGGCCTATTCTGTGCAGATGATAAAGGGGCACCCCTGCCCCTTTTGCAGGCTGCCGGTCTATGACAAACGCAAACACCCTGAGCAATGCATTGTCCTGTTTCAGGTTCTGCTTGGGTGGCACAAGGTGCAAGGCACGGACAAGATGCGGGAACAATGTTCCAAGCCTCATCCCAAGACCGCGG